GGGGCGGGGGCAGGACGGGTGGGTTGAGAGGAATAGAGCACAAGATGGTGCTATGAAGACCCCCCCACCCAAGAGCAGGGAAACAGAAGGCATAAAAGGCAAACATGGCCCCACAAAAGGTTGGGGAAAACCAGGAACCAGGGACAGGAGTTGAGCAGGCAACTGGAAGGAGAGAGGCCTAGGGGATGAGTTCACAATGTAATAAGACTGGAACCATCTTCCCTCTGAAGGAACTCAATTCAGTGGATCCCTAGGGTGGGATCAAGGGCAGAGGAAATAGGGAATGACTAGGGGGTGACCAACAAACTGCCTCCTGACTCAGCAAGGGCAGAGACCCAAGGCTTCCTGTGTCCATTTCTCCCCTCCCTGGGTCAGAACCCAAGAGAAACGCTAGGAGAGACAGAGGGCCAAGGACAGCAGGGTTGGGAGTTGGCAGTCCAGAGGTGGTGGGGCCGGAACATGGTTGGGAGAGGGGGGCCGGAAGTCGCCCTGGGCCCTGGGCCTGCCACAAGATGGAGGCCAAAGGCAGGAAATGGAGGCCAGGGGGAAAGGGGAGCAGCAGTGCCCAGGAAGGGGGCTATCTGGATCTGAAGGCCAGATATTCAACCCCTAGTGCTGCTCCCAGTCCCCCATGGCCCTCCAAGGACCATGCCCCACCCCCACAACACCACCCACCAGCCTATCCACCAGGCCCAGGCAGGCGGGCCCACCCCAGAGAGCCACGTTTAAGCTGAGACAAACATGCCTCTCCCCACCCCCAACCCTAGGCCTTCCCTTAGCCTTTTCCTCCTGTCCAGGACTTAATTTTTTAAAGTACCTCCCAGAAAGCAAAATCCAAGGGCCAAAATCCCTTCTGCAAATCAAATTAGTACCCTGTAAAACCCAATGTTATCCTGCCACATCCCATCCTACCTTTTACCAACCCCCTTCCGACACACCCCCAAAACTCTTTAACAATCAAAAAGATCTAAGATGGTGTAAGTAAGTAGTCTTTTTTAGGCCCCTTGTGTTGCCAGACTCCCTCCCCGAGACCCCTATCTGTCCTACATTAAACACTGCTAAGGCCCCCTGCTCCTCATTGCACCCCCAGAGCCCCAAAACAGTAGCTATCCCCAGCTCCCACCCTCGGCAGAGTCTTTGTGGGGGTGAAAGAGAAATCAAACACTATTCTAAAGGTTGGGGATGTTGGGAAGCATTCTGCTCTCAGACTTAAGTCTCCATCTGGGGGGCTGCAGTTTAGGGGTATAAGAGAAAGACTCTCCAATCATCCCCCCAATTCCAAGACTGACAAAGCCCAACCCCACCCCAACACGCACCTCCAAACCTCCCCCCCAACCCGCCACGTCTCTCCTGAAAACAGGGGACACTTTCCTCCCCACTTACCTCAGCTACTCTCCCCTGAGATCCTGGTCCCTATTTTGAAAGGAGCAAATTTTGGGGTGCATCCCTTACATTTGGGGTGCAGGAGAAAGGAGCCGCCCCAGTCGCATCGCTGGCCTCCTTCCTCTCGGCTGGCTCAGGGACTGGGGAGTGCCCTGGGGAGGGGGGACCCCCACAAGAGAGCTCTGGAGGGGGTTCCTCCACTCCCAGTCAAAATTGGGGACACCCCCCCAAAACCCGTCCCAGCCCATCCGTCTCCAACTCGGCGGGAGAGGCAGCTGCAATGCCCCAGTCAGATTCCCCCAACACTACATTCCTCACCCCATCTAGAGGGGTCCCGGGGCCCCCAAAAAATCCCAAAAAAATCTAGGATGTTGGGAAGACGGTCCTGGACTAGATCCCCAAATTTGGGGTCCTTAGATACCCCCGTTTTTTCAGGAAAATTCCGTCTTTCGCCTGCCTCCCGCCAGCCCTGCTCTGTCCCGATGCCAATTTTGGAAGTCACTCCCTCCTTCCTCCTCCCCGTCTCTCCAGGGCCCCCCCTGCTTGGGGGCTAGGGTCCAGGACACCTGGCTTCCAGACCAGGGGGGGCACTCCTCAAAGGGCTAGGGGCCAGGAGGTCAAGCTCATTGCTCCTGTCTTAAGGAAGCAGGAAAGCCCGATCCTCCCTTCCCCTCCCCCCTGGCTGGTCTCGGTGGTGGTTTAGGAAAGCCTGGAGGATTGGAATCTGCCATTGCTGTTGCACAGGCAGTTTTTTTTTTTTTTTCCTTGGGTTGGGGGGGTGGGCGATGGGAGGGAGAGAGGGGAGGAGAACCGAAGAGAGCAGGGACCCAGGCGGGAAGAGCTGGCCTGGCTCACCCTCTAGCCCCTGCTGCCGTTGGGAACCCCTCCCCCCTCAGCTCACCCACACTCCAGTCCTCTGCCTGCTTTCTGTTTGGGGCTGTTATCTTAGAAAATCAGGGTACAGGAATCCCCTCCTTTCACCCCCACTGCCACCTTTCCTTGCCACAGTTCCAACAGCACTGCCCTGCTCAGGGGTGTCCACTTTACTAAAAGACACCCCATTTTCCCCCATCTTCCCCCAAACTTAAGTGTTTTCCCTAAATACATTGGGGTTTGGAGTCTGAAACCACTTCTTCTCTCTCAGATCTATCCAGACCACAAAGTAATAAGTCCATCAGGAGGCATCATGGCCTTTCCAAATTTCTCCCTTCAAATCATGTGCTTATTTAGGGGTTCACTAAAGAAATTTCTAGAATCTGGGGTGAGAGGGAGCTCTAAGCGAAAGATACTCAACTCAGAAACGTGCTCCAAATCAAAGGAATCTCCAAATCAATCTCACCTCATGATCTATCCCCCAGCTTCACCCAAATGCACCCAAAGTGTAACAAAACAGCCCCAAATAAGGATACCCCCCAAATTTAATCTTCTATCCTGAGGGACCTCACATAATAGCTCCCCCTGGACAAAGTTTCCTAGTTATCCATGCATACACAAGAATAACCTCCCCCTCAAAATAAGTTTTCACATGATTCAAATATACAACTTTACACCCCCCAAAACCCCCACCCAACCACACAAAGCCTTCAAACTTGCTCTCAGCTTCCTATTATGTGCCTCCTCAAAGTAATTTAAAAACAAAAATCTCCAAACTGAATTTCATGTCCTCAACAATTTAGTCTGAGTCTTGACACTTATACCCCAAAAGACTGTACCCCAAAATCAGCATGAGCATTCTGGCTTTTCTGATAATCCAAGATGACAGAGATAGATACGGACTCCAAATTGTAGGTGTCAGAATCCTCAAGCCTCAAACATACCATAGACCCTCAACCAAATGATCTATCCCCCAGCTTCACCCAAATGTACCCAAAGTGTTACAGCCCCATTGCCTGTAACAGTCAAATCAACACCCACTAACAAATGGCACCCCATAACTGACCAGATAATATTCTATCCTGATACCAAAGGGAGCCCCTAGCCTAATTCTCACCACCAGACTGGACAGAGACCAAAGTAACCTTCATATGCCAAAGCGACCTCACCATTCTGTGTCCTTAGTCATCCCCAATTCCCACTTAGCTGTTCTTTCATGCACTCAAGTAAAGACAACTTCAGATCTGACCAGAGGGCTCTAGGCCTGGATATGCAGCTCCATGGTAAATACTTAATAATTCCTGGTCAACTGTATACCCTTCTGAGACCAAATCCAAAGAGGTCCGCTTTTGCAGCTGGTCTGGTCCCTCTTCTCCAAATAAGCCTTGCCCCCCCCCCCAAGTCTCCCCAAACAAAATATGAGGGTGTGATCTCCCAGATCAGCAGTTTTAAAATTAGAATTGTCAAGCCCTCCTTCTCTCTCTCACTCTTCTCTGTTGAGTGTAAATTCGGTTTACCCTACCCAATTTTCTTATTAGTGTTTACTAAAAATAATATCTTGATTAGATATCTTGAATATCTTGATTAGAAAAGAAACATTGTGCCCCCAGGCTCAAGCCCCACTCCCTGTCTCACCCACTCCCCTCATTCCCAAAGTCCTGGATTTCCCACTTCCGTAGGAAACCCAGCCTGACGGAAAGTCCCCGGGTCCCTAACTCTACCTCTCTTTTTCTAGAACTCCTCTAAGAGGCAGAAGTGCAAAATAAACCACCGCAAATGGGAGGAAGCCCAAAGTTTCAGCCGCCAAGACCAAATCCATCCAGCACCCTAGTCTGTGCACAACCCCAGCCGGGTGGAAACCACGGGGCGGGGCGAGGCGAGGCTAGTGCTCGTCCGCCCCCTCGTGGAAAGAGCCAGACATTGCCGAGCTTCGCCTACTTGCCGCGCTGGACCCCGGCGTCCCGCCAGCCTCAAAGCGTAGCCGACCGGCGGGTGCTCGAGGACCTATTGAGCTGGGACTGGGGGACAGCGAGCGGGCTTTGGGCGGGAGTCGGTCTCTCTGAATCCCTAAAAGGACTCAGAAGAGAGTTGGGGCGGGAGGCCGGACGCCTAGGTCTCCTGAGCGTCTCTCGGCCCCCACCCGGGGCTTTCCCCACCTCCTCGAGGGGAAGCAGCTGGCGGAGCCGTCCGGTCTCAGGACAATGGAAGGAAACGAACTAGAAATCATATCCGCCCTCTCCCTACCCGGCCCGGTCAGAGCCCCCCTTTTTGTGGGCCCTGCCAAAGGGGCCTGTCATTCACACCACACCCTTCCACTATCTGAGACCCCACGGAAGACCACTAGGGCCTCCCCCAAACCTGGTGTCCCCCTTTTCACCCTTAACATAGTACATCGGAAGGGGGAGTCGTGATGTGACACCTTCTTCCAAAAGCCAATACACCAATTTTCGCTGTCCCGGTCCTCCGATTACCCAGAGCCTCTATTATTTCCCATCATGGACACCCTTAATCTCCCCAGTTCCGACACCCACATCCTCAATTCTTACTATTAGAGCCCCCCAAATCCCCACGTTAGGATCACCTGGTGTTTCTGAGGTCCCGCCTTAGAGACGGAGACCCCGCCCCAGGTTCCCCATCTGGAAAGCCAGGGAGGAAGGAAGGATACAGACCCAGGCGTTCACCCCACCTCCACCCCCGCCCCCGACATCCCGGAGGGATAAAGGAGCCGAGGCCGAGAGAGACCCCGCCCCCCCTTGAGAAGAGAAGCCGCAGCCCCTGCGGGACGGGGGTAAGAAGGAGACACTGAGGGAGCCGGAATCCTGGGACCCCAAAGAGGGTTGGGGCTTATTGATAGTAGGGAGACTGAGTCCCAGAATTTGCACTTTACTAGGATGGGGACTGTATAGGAGTAGCAGAAATCTGCGGTTCGTAGAAGGGAGTTTCGACTGGGATTTGGAGGGGTATGGAGTTCAGCTTTTCTGGAGTCCCCAGGCCGGGTCAAGCACTTAAGATCTAGGCGCGCCAAGAAGCAAAGAGAGGTAGGTTGTGGAGGGACACAAGGAATCCAACCAAAGGCTCTGTGCGCGATATTTCGCACGCTCTCCATCGACGCAGAGGTGGGGAAACTTCAACTCGTTCCAAGCGCTCTGGGATCTAGCTCTCTGGAAGTCAGCGACGATGTGGTTGAGGACAGCATTAACGAGACGAATTAAGTGAGGCTTCGTGTGCTGGGGCCCGGAGATGGTGAACCTGGCTCTGGCAGCACCTTGGGAGAAAAGACAAGCAGAGAAGGGAAGGTGTCTTAAGACTGCCGAATCCCTGAGCCCTTTCCACCGCATCCACAGGCCTGCGTCGCTATGGGTTCCACCACTGCCCCAGACGGAGCGATCGGCTACGTCCGCGAATTCACCCGCCACTCCTCCGACGTGCTGGGCAATTTGAACGAGCTGCGCCTGCGCGGGATCCTCACTGACGTCACGCTGCTGGTTGGCGGGCAACCCCTTCGAGCACACAAGGCCGTTCTTATCGCCTGCAGGTTCGAGGGTTGGGGCTAGTGGGGACCAAATGGGGAAAGGGGTGGAGCCATAGGCCATAGAGTGGAAATTCAAACCCAAACCTTGCTGGAAAAAGAGGGGAGAGTCCCAGAATTGAACACCGTTTAATAGTGGGGAAGCGGGATTTCTAAAGGAATGGGTTTTCTAAAGCAGCGCGTGTGTCCCTTGGTCTAACATGACCTATCTGTCCTCTCTCCAGTGGCTTCTTCTATTCAATTTTCCGGGGCCGAGCAGGAGTAGGGGTGGACGTGCTCTCCCTGCCCGGGGGGCCCGAAGCTAGAGGCTTCGCTCCTCTTCTGGACTTCATGTACACTTCGCGCCTGCGCCTCTCTCCCACCACTGCACCCGCTGTCCTTGCGGCTGCCACCTACTTGCAGATGGAACATGTAGTTCAGGCATGCCACCGCTTCATCCAGGCTAGGTGAGGGAATCATGGCTCTGTGTTCTTCCTGGGTGAGGTGGCGTCCCAGGTATCAATGGCAAAGGCAAAATTAGGAAATAGAACTAATGTCCATCACGTTTTTTCCAGTTGTGAACCTCTAGGCATCTCCCTGCGACCCCTGGAGGCAGAACCCCCCACACTCACAACAGCCCCTCCACCAGGCAGTCCCAGGTGCTCTGAAGGGCACCCAGACCCACCTACTGAATCTCGAAGCTGCAATCAAGGCCCCCCAAGTCCAGTCAGCCCAGACCCCAAGGCCTGCAACTGGAAAAAGTACAAGTTCATCGTGCTAAACTCTCAGGCCTCCCAAGCAGGGAGCCTGATTGGGGAGAGTAGTTCTGGTCAACCTTGCCCCCAAGCCAGACTCCCCAGTGGAGATGAGGCCTCCAACAACAGCAGCAGTGAAGAAGGACCCATCCCTGGTTTCCAGAACAGGTACACGGTCTAGAATTCCAAGACTTTTTTAGAGGCTAGCCTGTGTTATCAGTAGGCAGGGAGATAGATGGGGGTCCCTTTCAAAGATACCAGCCCACCTTTGGGAATTGACTAGAAACCAGGGTAACTCAGTGGGGAGGGACATTGACAGGGCCAAGAATGTGGCTCATTGATTAATATTAGCTCACCTCCAGAGGATAGGCCTTTGACTCCAAGTTCTCTTGGAGAGAATGTCTCTTCATATAATCTCTTCTAACCTCTTCTATGGGCCTTATTATCTGTTCAGGCTTTCTCCAACTACTGCTGCTAGGCAGTTCAAATGTGGAACTCCAGTCAGTGCCCCCTATCTCTTCACATCCCGGGTTCAAGAGACTACTGGATCACCCTCTGAGCGGCCCTGTCCACCACCAGGTAAGAATTCCTCTTTTCCAATTTTTCTCCTATGACTATACCAGGCCAGTTTGGGTTAAAAGGACTCAGGAGACACTTATTCTGGTGGTTCCTAAACTTTATTTGCAAATTAAAATTACGTGGGAAGGTTTTAAAACTCCCAGGTCACACCCAGAGATCAGAAAGTTTAGAAGTGGGGATCAGTAATTTTTTTTTTTTTAACATCATCATAGAACTTTTTTTAGCGGGGGGAATCAGTAATTTTTAAAGCTTCCCAGGTGCTTCCAATGAGTAGCAAAGTTTGGAAATTTCGGGCCTATCCCTATTTAGGGTTGAGTAGTCTGTCCAGACTTTGACAGGGCCTTGCTGGTGGACTGTCATCCAGACTGGTGCAATATAGAAGAAACCAAAACCTCTGCCCACTAGCAGGGGCTTCCACCTACTGTCACCACTATTGAAGAAATTAGCAGAGTGCTCTGGAATCAAATGTAGAGTAAGATTTTATATGGCCTTTGGCAAGTCAAATGTGTCCCAGAATCCTTCACAGTGAATTGGAAGAAAAGAAAACCTTACCTACTTACTGTTGTTCGGTTTGAGGATTCACTCCTACCCAAGAAGCCCTCAATTAGTAACTATGGTTGTCATTACTCACTATCCTCACTCCCCTTTCCCAGGAAGTGAGTTTTTCGGCTGCCAGAACTGTGAGGCTGTGGCCGGGTGCTCTTCGGGGCTGGACCCCTTGGCTCCCAGGGACGAGGACAAACCCTATAAGTGTCAGCTCTGCCGGTCTGCCTTCCGCTACAAAGGCAACTTGGCCAGTCACCGTACTGTGCACACAGGTAGGAGGGGAAAGGGATTTGGCCTTCGTGCCCACCACTGTTTTTAAGGCAATGTCCCTGACTTCTCTTCCTCCCTGTTTATAGGGGAAAAGCCCTACCATTGCTCCATCTGTGGAGCCCGTTTTAACCGACCAGCTAACCTGAAAACGCACAGCCGCATCCATTCGGGAGAGAAACCTTACAAGTGTGAGACTTGCGGTTCGCGCTTTGTACAGGTATGAAGCCAACCCCAGCAGAGAGGGTTCAAAGGTTAGAGGGCGGGATGGAGAGAATTCTGCCCCTCCCGAAGGTGATCTGAAGTCTCCTCCCCTCCCAGGTGGCGCACCTGCGCGCCCACGTGCTGATCCACACCGGAGAGAAGCCCTATCCTTGTCCCACCTGCGGAACTCGCTTCCGCCACCTACAGACCCTCAAGAGTCACGTTCGCATCCACACGGGAGAGAAGCCTTACCATGTGGGTATCCAGCATGGCCAACCCTTAGAATTACCTTCCGTTCACCTAGGGGCGGAGCTCTGAGAGGAGGGACCTTTCTACCCTTAGATCTCTTGGAAACTAAGAGTCCTAGTGAATAAGAGGCGGAGGCCGAAGTAGGGATTGCGCTTCTTCATTTTCCAGAGAGGGATTAACGGGTGGGAAAACCTTTGCTAAAATAAATCAGGGTCTATCTCCCGGGATCCCCTGAGGATTTGGGAGGATGTGAAGGCCAAAGCGCTAATTTTCTATAGAGAGCTGAACCGTTTCCCTTTGCCCAACACCTAAAAGATGGTTTTGGAATGGGTGAGACCTGACTCAGTTGTCCTCCCACAGTGCGACCCATGCGGCCTTCATTTCCGGCACAAGAGTCAGCTGCGGTTGCATCTGCGCCAGAAACACGGGGCTGCTACGAACACCAAAGTACACTACCACATCCTGGGGGGGCCTTAGCTGAGTGCCCCAGACCCCAGTCGCTCCCCAGGGCCCAGGAAGTCCCCAAGCTTGGACCTGGCTTCCCTGTTCATCTTGGTATGGGGGTGTGCAAGACCACTCTAGTATCAGAAACTGCTGCCACCTTAATTTCTTGCTGGGGAGAGCAGGAGTGGCAGATCCAGGCTAGATCTGCCTCTGTTTTGCTGGTCAAAACCTCTTCCCCGCAATCCAGATTGTCTAACTAGAGGCTGGGGTCAGGGAGACATTGGAGGCCTGATGTCCTTAAGGGAAGAGCCCCCACCTGCAGTCCCCATCTCATTTGGTTTATCTGTAAATATAATTTATTGCAGCCTTTGGGTAGCACCAGGGCCTTCATTCTGTTGCATTTCCCACTTCCCTATTCCACAAGTGTGATCAAAAGTGACCAGAAACATAGAATGTGAAGTCACAGCTCTGCTGGCAGAGATTATTAGCACTTGGCTCTCTCCTTTGGCTTGAGTGTTTTTATATTGTTATTGTCATAGCTTTTATCTTTACAATTGTTCTTTTTCCTGTTTGTTTGATGTTGGTTTGTTTAAAATGGAGAAAGGGGGACTCCATTCCCTGCTCCTCCAATTCTAGGTCTGGAACCTTTATTCATTCTAGGGCAAGCCCTAGGAACATGTGGGATTATAGAATTGGGTCTGGAACCCTCTCTGGTATTCTGGACTTTGAGGTGCTCTAGCAGGCTAGAATTAGATATAGTCTTTTCTTTCTTTTCATGGGTAATAGGAACCTTTATGATGAGCCTGAAACGGAGGTAACAAATGCTTCCTGAAAGTTGCGGGGTGGGAGATTGGAACCTAAATCACTGTAAGTAGAGGCCAGTAGTCTTTACTTCAAGATGGTTCAGAACCTACACTGTCTCACCAATCCAGTCACCTGGGTTTGGCTGCCCTGCATTCATCTGTCACAACAGAGCCCACCCAAGGCTTTGAATTGAATTCATAATTCTCCCACTATGGCCAGTTCTTAGCACTGAGTTGATCCCTCCTTCATGGGAGAAAGATCTGAAATTTCTTGTCAGAGATCATATGACCTTTTATGATTCTACCAGTCTCTAAGAATATTGTGACCTAGGGGAGAAAAAAATGAAACTTTACCTTGACTATAGAGTTGTGACCCACCCATTACTGTAGAGGTATCTAGGTTTGAATGTTCCTTGGGGTCCTCTATACTGAGATGAGCCCCTTCTTTCTTTAATGGGTTTTAGACATCTTCTGGCAAGTGTCCAGATTCCAGAAACGTCTTTGTCTCTTTAAGTCACAGGTGTTTGGTAGCTTTCTTACCTTAGAAAAGCTGGATCTGTGATCTTGTCTTCCCATCACTGCATTCCTGTCTGGAACCAGTGAGTGCACTAGAACCTTCCACAGGAAGAGGAAAGAGGCTGAGTTCCATTCTGGGTTTATTGTAGTTTGGAATTATGATTGGGATTGTTGTTGGGAATGGAGATTTGAGAGTAAGACTGGTTGACTGATGAGTTCAAGCCCCTTCTAGTTGACCAAGTTGCCAGGTAGGATTAAGAGGTTGATTAAGTGCTAAAGTTTCCAGTGTTGACCAAGTAGGGGAAAAGTTAGGGATGGGGTAGCCTCTTAGCAACTGTCTGGAATGTTGAATAATACTCTGAATCCCTGATTTATAGTCTTGGCCCTTGTAACCCTGGGACCTATTTGATTATAGGACATGGATGGAGGGTAAAAAGCACTTCTGAATTTGGGGGGCGGGGTGGAACTTCCTCAAGATAGGTCAATACTAGTTGCTGTCACTTGGGGACTAGTGAGAAAGCTATTCTCCCTATTTCTATCTTAAACCCCATCACCCCATTGCAGAATTGAAGAAGAGGGAAAGCAAGAGGAGACATGTAAAAAGAAACCATAATCTCTGTTTTAGCAGATGGGATGAGCAGGTTGAAAGTGCCTGGGGGTGGAGATGTTAGATCTTTCAAGATCTGATCCTTGGAATAAAGAAGCCTCTGAGTCTATCTGTTGTGTTCTGGGTTCTTGCCTCAGGGGACCTGGGGACTTGGAAAGAGATTTCTTCCCTCTTAAATAACATTTGGATTCTGTGCTCATTTCACTGTTTCATCCCACCACACATCTTAAATGGTCCTTGTTCTGCCCTTGCCTTCCGGCTCATTGTGTAGGAACCAGTGACTTCATGAAGTTTCTCCGGAGCCACCTGCATCCTGCTGGTCTGAAGTCACTTCCTGCCTGAGGTGCAGAGGCAGCAGGGAGAAACTAGGAAGCCACTAGTAATACCAAGAGGTTGAGGGATGCATTTATGCTGGGGATATTAATGCTTGGGACACCCCACCACCACTAAGGAAAATGGTTGGGACTTGGATCCCAAGGACAACAGGAGGTGGCAGTGAGAAGGCTGTGTAGTTAAGAGCCAGCATGCCAACTCCACCTTTGTCTCCCAGCAGTGGTATCTTGGAAGTCTATCCAGTGTCCCGTGCATGTGCCTCTCCTACTTTTTCCCCTGTTCTATGTGTGTCCTGGGTGCATAGCTCTGGTCTGGCCCTCAGGCAGAATGGTCACAAATTCTGATATTATCCCTGCCTTCTGTCTTAGAAGTCCTTATCTGTGATAAAAGTCAGATAACATGGCCCCTGAATTGCCTCCAACATTTGCAGGATGTGGTTGTGTTTCTTAATCTTTTAATACCCAGACCTGAAAAGAAAAAAAAACTAAATCCTTCCTTCACTTCCCTCTGCAGCTTCACTTCCCTCTATGCCCTGTTGAAAACAAGACTAGCTAATATTACTTTCACCTGCTACATGGTATGCCCTAAACTAAGCATTTTAGTGCATGGATTTTCTAATTTAACCCCCCTGACAACCATTAAAAAATAGCCTAACTTACAGATGGGAAAACCAATATCTTGACCAAGTTAATAAATGATAAAGTCAAGATTGGAACCAATTTGATTCTAAAGACTGAGTTCTTAACCACTTATATATGACCACACCAACTAGCATATTCCCCACCAATATTTTGAATACATATTCATACACACAGAGGTAAGAATTCTGGTATGATTATTTTCCATATGTGAAATCAAAAGCTACACAGTCTCCCCACCTCATTCCCCTCTTCTTCTTTGCCTGTTTGCTTCTTTTCCCCACTAGTCTAGGTGGGTTTTTGTTGTTGTTGTTGTTATTTGTTTGTTTGTTTGTACTGGGGGTTTAATTCAGGTGTGCTGCTTAGGGCTAAATTGCTGAGGCTGGCTTGGATCTCCTAATCCTCCTGCTTCAGCCTCCAGAATGGCTGAGATTACAGGCCTGTGCCACCATATCCTGCTGGGTATGAACTCTTTGAGCCCAGGGAACCCAGGTCGGGGGTCCTCCAGAGCTTGAGTTACAATGAAGGAACTGAAGTCCAAGACGTTAATGCTGTGGAGTCTGGGGAGGACTAGGGGGTGCTCACAGGGGGCCTGAGTACTGGTGGGGTAAGAAAAGCTGATTGCTCCAGTTGCCGGGGTCATAACTTCTCTTTATCCCACCTTGAGTTCAAAAAATATGATTAGGACATGGCTGTTACTAGAAGGCAGAAGAAAAGGTTCCAGCCCCACTGAGGAAGGGGTAGGTGGTGTTGGTGGAGCCCTATGTGACTTTACAGCCGCCCTTCCTCTCTTCAGTTATTTTTGGTCTCTGTGACCCAAGGTTTCCTGTTAGTGGGAACAGAAAAGTGTTATCATCACAGAAATGAATGCCAGGAGTCCAACAACCCATTCCCCGTCGTCTCTTTTCCGTTGGCCCTTGAACCTCTCAGAAATCCAGCCATCTCGATTTGGGGAGCTGCGTTAACGGTGGCACTCCTTCGAGTTATTTTGAATTTTATAACCTGTCCTCTGGAACCCCACGCGGGTCGGGCATTCCTCAAAAACAAGTGAGTGCTTGCCTCTCCAGAACCAGTTTGCCCACCACCAGTCCTTATGTGCGGGTTTTGGTGCTGAAATGCGGCCGACTCGGCCCACACCGTGGGCAGGGGACCGCGGCATCCCCGCGGTAGGTCCCTGCATCACGTGTGGCTGTATCCAGTCAGTCTCTTCAGGACCCTCCTTACGCATGCGCCCCACTCACTGCGGGTCCGGAACAATGCTCTAAGTCCCGCCCAAGCCTTCTGGCCCCACCCCCTGCTCAGGAGTCCTGCGTCCTCGTTGGCTAGCTAGGGACTGGATGTTGGCCCGCTTGGCCAGGTGTAGACATCCCCAAAGATAATCCATACCCAGGCCGGTGCGCGTCTCCATTTCCACCTCCTGGTCCCTAATCGAAAGTTTGGGGGCCCGCCGCTAACGAACTGACCCTTTCCTGGACCCTCAGCTGCAGGCCAGCCGGGCTGCGCCTCCGTGCGCTTGTGACCGAGGCTAGCACGGGCCTGGTCCCCCCCTCCCCCGCCTCACTAAGACCGTACCCCTTGGGAAAAGGCGCAGGCGCCTCACGCCGCCTGATCTGTACCTTTCTCTTTAGCCGATTTTGCACCCCACCCCGCGTTTGGTTCCGAGCCTCCCAGCAGGGTGGGCATACACTGGTGGAAGTCTAGAGCCCGGCTCCTGCAGGGGTTGGCTCTTAGTGGCGGCAGCCCTGTTCCTACCCAGATGGCTCGCGGGGCCGAGCCCCCCGATGGGGGCTGGGGATGGATGGTGGTGCTCTCAGCCTTCTTCCAGTCGGCACTGGTGTTCGGGGTGCTTCGCTCCTTCGGAGTCTTCTTCGTGGAGTTTGTGGCGGCGTTTGAGGAGCAGGCAGCGCGCGTCTCCTGGATCGCCTCCATTGGAATCGCGGTGCAGCAGTTTGGTAGTGAGTGCTGCGCCTGATCCGGTGTCCTGTGACCCTCACCCTCGAAAGAGAAAGGGGATACAGGAACCGAAAGGGGAAGGAGAAGGGGTGTGGAGGCTACTAGGGAAGGACGCCTGAGTCCTCACAGAACCCTTTCCCCTTCCCCAGGCCCCATAGGCAGTGCCCTGAGCACGAAGTTCGGGCCCAGGCCTGTGGTGATGACCGGGGGCATCTTGGCCTCGCTGGGTATGCTGCTCGCTTCATTTGCTACCTCCTTGACCCACCTATACCTGAGTATTGGACTGCTCTCAGGTGAGACCCTGGGCAAGGACAGGAGAGTCATATACTTGGGTCTTTGGCCACTGGATTTTCGCCTTTTTCTTGCTCCTTCCAAAAAGTTTAGGGAAAATGTTGAGGGAATGTTTAAGTAGCACCTGTGCCCTGAAGGGAATTCTTAAGAGAATGACTAGGTTGGTAAACCTGGTGGGGAAATTAGGAAAGTCAAAGATAATGAATCCAAGAATGTATGTGCAAGCCCAAGGCTAGAGGGACTGGAGAATTTCTGTAAAATTGTGCTGGGTATTGTGACTGAAATGAATATCATTAGCCTATGTACAAAGAAAGACTTTCAAAGCTTACGCAACTTGGCAATGTAACATTACATGGCCAGAAATGGTAGAGCAGGGGTCTAACTCCAAAGTTCTGTGCTAGTTACTTTACAAATATTATCTCTAGTCCTCCCCCAGTCCCATAAAGTGTAGCAACCCCATTTTGCAGATGAGGAAATTGAGGCTGGGAGAGTAAGTAAAACACATGGGGTCACACAGCTAGAAATTGTCAAAGCTAGGACTACATCCAGGTCTGTGGGACTCCAGAACAAAGGCTATATTCTGCTGCTGAGCACTGTTGGGATTACTGGGTTTCCTGAGCTCCACAAAAGTTCTCAACCCCATTTCTTCCTTTTTGACAGGCTCTGGCTGGGCCTTGACCTTCACTCCGACCCTGGCCTGCCTGTCCCGTTACTTCTCTCGCCGTCGATCCCTGGCCACAGGGCTGGCACTGACAGGAGTGGGCCTCTCCTCTTTTGCATTTGCCCCCCTCTTCCAGTGGTTACTCAACTACTATGCCTGGCGGGGGGCTCTACTGCTCGTATCTGCCCTCTCCCTCCACCTGGTGGCATGTGGTGCTCTCCTCCGCCCACTATCCCTGACTGAGGACACAGTTATGGGTGGCCCTGCAGCCCAACTCACCTCCCTCCTCCATCATGGCCCCTTCCTCCGTTACACTGTTGCCCTAACCCTGATCAACACTGGCTACTTCATACCCTATATCCACCTGGTGGCCCATCTCCAAGACCTGGATTGGGACCCACTACCTGCTGCCTTTCTACTCTCTGTGGCTGCTATTTCTGACCTTGTAGGGCGTGTGGTCTCTGGGTGGCTGGGAGATGCAGTCCCAGGGCCTGTGACACGGCTTCTGATGCTTTGGACCACCCTGACTGGGGTATCACTGACCCTGTTCCCTGTGGCTCAGGCTCCCACAGCCCTGGTGGTTCTGGCTGTGGCCTATGGCTTCACATCAGGAGCCCTGACCCCAGTGGCCTTCTCCGTGCTGCCTGAACTGGTGGGGACTGGAAGGATTTACTGTGGCCTAGGACTGGTGCAGATGGTAGAGAGCATCGGGGGGCTACTGGGGGCTCCTCTGTCAGGTAAGGGGAATGGGGTTGCCAGGTGGGCAAGGGCTGCCATGTTGCACAGTTGGGGGAAGGAACTATTCCCATCATGTGTATGTGAATATTGTCCTCTGGTATGGTACAGTTCACAGCCTGCATGACCAATCATAGCAGACTTGATGTGGGTCCATAGGGTAGAGAAATTGGGGCTGGGAAGTTCTAACTGGAAAGACAAAGAGGAGTTAAGTGGAAATCTTGGTATGGAGCTAACAGCCTGGGTTTTCAGAGGATATGGCCAGATCTGGATCTATATAACATTCCAGTGTCTTCCATTTTCCTTTGTCTTACTGGGCCCCAGGCCATGTGTCTGAGTACTCTGGTCAAAGTACTCCAGGCTCAAGATTCAGGAACCTTATGACTTTAACATTCCCTCTTAACTATTAACTGAAGATGTGGAACGGCTACAATTGCCAGAAAGAAACCTACAGGTATGCCTGACATAATCTGGCTTATCAAATCTTCACGGGCTGGTTTGGAGATCCTTTCTAAAGGCACACAGGTGGTTAAAATTACCTTTGAGGCCCTTAGGGAAAATAGAATTCTCACATTCATCTGGTCTACCTTGGGAGTTTTGATTCCTCTAACATTATGCACCTTTCCTTCCTGCAAAAAAGGGGTCTGAGGGCTGGGGATGTGGCTCAAGCGGTAGCGCACTTGCCTGGCCTGTGTGCGGCCCGGGTTCAATCCTCAGCACCACATACAAACAAAGATGTTGTGTCCACCGAAAAACTAAAAAATAAGTATTAAAAAAAAAGGGGGGGTCTAAGCTGTCAGCCCCAGCGAACAGATCACCCATGTGTATTCTTTTTCTCTCTTGGATCTAGGCTACCTCCGAGATGTGACAGGCAACTACACAGCTTCTTTTGTGGTGGCTGGGACCTTCCTTCTTGCAGGGAGTGCAGTTCTAATCACTCTGCCCCACTTCTTCTCCTGCTTTTCAACTCCGACTACCAGGCCTCAGGACCTTGTAATAGAGGCAGTGGATACCAAAATCCCCCTGCCCACAAAGGAGGGGCTCGGAGAGGACTGAATTCCACTAAGAGATAGTCGCCAAAAGCCAGATCTTGACAGCTCCAGATTTTCTCCTACCCAAAGGAGGCATCCACAGAACCACAGTGCCTTAAGATTCTTGATCTTTCTCGCCCCAGAGCAGTCCTGGGACTGCTGTGTGTGCCAACCCTTGGTATTTTGCTGAGGACTCACATTTCTTCTCATTTGCTCTCCCAACCTTTTCTGAAGGATCCAGAGATCCTACTCCATTAAGCTGTGAATCAACTGAAAATCAAAGACCAAGAGACTTCTCATGTTTTACATGTGAACTCTAGTGTCCTCCTAAGTGTCCTCTCTGAAGACAGATGTTTGAGAAGCAAAGGTGTCTGTTTGAGATAAAACTGAATAAGGAAACCGGACAATAATTGTAACCTCAAAAAGAACCAGGGCCCATGTGTGGGTTGGCTTATGAAATCAGGGCAGGGGAGGGGAGGTGTCCAGGAGCTGTGATGATCCTGAGTTCCTTCCTCCTGTCCACTTACCTACCTCTTCCCCACCTGGGGCTTAGAAATTAAGGGAATGGTGAAATCACAGAGTGTATGTGTGTGGGAGGGTAACTTGTTTAGGAGGGGGAAAAAAGGCTGATAGAGCTGAAGTTTGGACCTAGGATTCTCATATTTTCCAGGAAAATAAAAGGAGATTGAAATGCTGGAACTGTTCTGCCAGGTCTGGATATTCAAGGTCAATGAAAATGGAGCAGGTGGCATCCATAAGCATCTTTTCCCCCACCCCAGCCCACAACAAACTGAAACTGCAGACAACTTCTCAAAGACTCCCTGTTATGGCAAGGATTTGGGCAAAGAGGAATGGACTGATTGGACAGCTAAACACCCTTCCCCACCCCCAACTGGGGTCCTGTTTTTTTCAAAAGCCTTTTGGGATATCTTAAAATAGAATATTTTCAGGCTTCTAGGATGGCCAACAGTTGGAGCTTTCAGAAAAATCAAATAAAAATTATTTATTGGGGGAGGGGTTTAAACAAGAAAATGATCAACAAGTGGTGTCCAGAGTGGAGCGAGGGCCTCCTGGGGGTGGCAAGGCAACTTGGGGCACCGGAAGCAGCTCCCCTCTCTCAGGGGGAGGGGTAGCTGGAGGTGAGGTTGGACGACAGGAGGGGAGGGCCCTGGGTAGCCCCAAATAGATGAAGCTGCCGGAGAGGATGAAAGAGCCACAGACGAGGAAAGAAGCGGTGAAGTTTCCTGTCTCATCCCTTAGGAAGCCTGAGAAGAGGGGTAAAGGAATTTAGAGGTCTTGCACCCCAAGGGCAGAGGACGGTTGGGAGTGGATCTGCTGGTTCAGGCCCTTACCTGACAGGGGAGGGCCCAGGAGTCCCCCGAGGCTCATCAGCATCATCACCAGCCCAGTGGCCTGCACCACACCTCCGATGCCCACCAGCCCCGGAAGCACACCAAACACTAGGGGGGCATAACTTCCAGCGCTAAGCCCGTAGGCCCCAGCTGCAGCCAGCAGGGGGCCCCCCCAGTCATCTTCGCTCCCCACCGCCGGCACCAGTCCCACTGCCAGCAGCCCCAGCCCTGTCAGAGCTCCAAACAGTGCCAGCAGCCGCGGAAGGGGCACCCAGCCCTGGTCCGCCAGCCACCCACAGACCAGTCGGGCACCCGAATCCCCCACTGCAGCCATGGCCACCACCAGAGCTGCCCCGTATCCCCCCAGGCCTCGGTCTAAAGCGTGTGGGGCCAAGTGCACGTAGGGGACGAAGTACCCACCCCCAATCAGAGCTGTACCCAGAGCAAAAACTGAGAAGGCCCGACGCTTGAAGAGACCCAAGCCGAGGGCAGCTAGGGGGTTGAGGGGTGGAGCCTCGGGGTCGCCAGGGAGGGACAGGGGTCGCAGCAGGGCGCCACAAGGGGTGAGGTGGAGTGTGACAGCGCCAAGGAGGAGCAGAGCGCCCCTCCAGCCGAAAGCGTCAAGGAGGAGCTGCAAGGCAGGCGCCAGAAGCAGGGAGGAAACCCCGTTGCCAGTGAGTGCTAGTCCCACAGCCAAGACCCGACGGCGAGAGAAGTAACGGGAGAGGGTACCGAGGGCAGGGGCAAACACCAGAGCCCAGCCAGCGCCTGCGAATAGATAAAGTGAGATTAAGGCAGGTTCCAGGGATGCCTGCCCCAGCATTCCCAGCCGTGCTTCTAGCAGAAGCCACCCCCCCACCTCATTCGTTACCCCAACTCCCAAGAAAGTCCTATCCCCACCATCACCCCTGATCATCACCCCGGGTCATGCCACTCCCCTCACCGGCGAGGAGGCCCAGGCCGAGGTAGAGGTGCAGCAGGCTTCGGGCGAAAGCCGATAAGACGAAACCCAGCGAAGTAAGGACTCCCCCAACCATCACCACCGGGCGCGCCCCCCAGCGTGTGCTCAGAGCGCTGCCCACTGGGCCTAAAAGGGGTCGAAATCAACGGAAGACACGCTCCTGGACCCCCAAACTCTCTGCAACACTTCTCATTGGCTATTTGCTTGGCCTCACACTCCTCCCTGGGTCTAATAGCTCCTCCCCTTGACCTCAAGTCCCACTCTTTTCTAGAACTTGGTTTCAATAATCAGTCGCTCATTCTCAAGTTGTCTAGTAATTAATTGGATCTCCCATCACTATACTCACAGTTCCTACACCCCCTTCCCACCCCCCACCTTGGGCCCTCCCTCACTGGCTGCTTGCTGCATGGCCAAGGCCAGGGCGCTGACCCACGCAGTGTCCTGGGCGCTTCGGTCAAAATGCTCGGCGAGGTCAGGGAGAGCAAGGCCCAGGGAGCGTAAGAGCCCGTAGGAGAGCCCATTCACCGCGAAGGCCGCGGCCGCCACCACCCAGCCCCAGCCCCCGTCCGGGGGTCCGGGCGGCTTGGGGGTCATCACCGTCTGTGGGGGTGGGGAAACAACTGTGAGTGAGGTCTCCGCTCCTGAGCGTCCTCTTAGGAGCTAGCATTACTGAGATCCGTTCTCGGGCTGCTCTCCCAGGGTGGGCACGTCACCCAGAGCGTGGGTGAGGGAACCAGGCCTAGGGACAGAACTCCTGGGTGCTAGTGGGGTACCGGGTTGGGGAACAGCTGGATCCCCCAAGCCGCGGGCTCTCCCTCCCACACACCCCTTTCGCCTTACCCGACCTCTCTAAGCGGTGGGGGGAGGGGAAGGCTCGACCGGGTTTTCTCCCCGCTTCCCGGGCGGGCGGGGCCCGGGAGTGGAGCGACTGCAGAGATGGAGCCCAACTTGAACAGGTTCTCTCCGTAAACAGAGATCACCACAGGGGCCTGAGCCACCTGGGACGCGGAGGGGTACCGAGGGCGGGGGCAGGCTGAGACTGTCAGCCAATCCGCCAAGCCGCGGGTGAGGCCAGACTCTGAGTCCCACGGGGATTGAATTATCCACACACAACCCCCAGCCCCCGATAGGGAGCGGCCAGGAATGGATGTCGCCTCGCCCCGCCCCTCCCGGCTCACGCCCACGCACCTGCCACCAGCTGCGCACAGAGGAGACGCGTGGATTGCAAATCCTTCGCAAACTCAGGGGCAGCTGATCACGCGTGAAAATAGGGATGGTCCCCGAAGCCTAAGGAAACGAGTAGTTAGTTCTGTTCACCCAAACGTTGCTGAGGATCCAGTAAATCTAGGATATCACATTGACCTCCAGTGGGTGCCTGCTTCGTGCTCAACAAGGGCATGCCCTCAAGGAGGAAGAGAAAGGAGAGGACTCCCTAAGATGAGGACCAATGGTATGCCATGCACTTTTTACATGTTATCGTTTCATCCTTACAATAACCCTATGAAAAAACTGCCATCCCGGTTTTACTGTTGCAGTAACTGAGGCTCAGAGAGGTTAGGTGATTAGTCCCAAATCACTCAACTAAAAAAAGCAAAAAAAAAAAAAAAAAAAAGGCGGGGGGGAATATTTGAATTTGGATCTGTCTAAATTGTGGGAACCATACGAGAAGAACAGACATAGGAGTGAAACAGAACCTGCCACGGTTGAGAAAAATATCCTGGAGATAATTTGATGCAAATTACCCTGGAAAGAGCAGAACCTTCGCAGGGCCAGAGAATTTATGATTCTAAAATAAGGGCGTCTGGGAATAAAAGAGATCTTTGCCATCAGGAGCTCTAAAGAAAGACAGCCTAGAATTTTAAAAGCAAAGAGATGAGAGAATTGAACCCAACTATTGATTTCTTGAAAAACTATATAATAAGCATTCTTTTTTAACAGGTCAGGGATGTATTACTTCAGCTGTTTGAATCAAAAGATGTGTTCTTTGGTTTAATTATTAAACAATACCATTGAAAATTCAGCAACTTGCAGATTGTAGCCTGCATCAACCTATAACCACATGGTGGCAGTGTTTCCTAATTGCTGAGAAAGTGCCTGTAAGGAAAAGAAAAACAACTGCCTTAAGTTGTGAGACTGTAAACCTTAAAAAAACAGAATGACCTTCAACGACTCTCCATTGCTTATAGGGGGAAAAATCAAATTCCTCTATTTTATGTATAAGACTCTTCATAATAATCAAAGGTGTATCTGTCTAAGTTACTTTTCCATTACAGATCCCTCCTCAAGCCTTACTTGCTCCCACCTGCCCTTAGCTACTTACCTGCTCCACGGACATTCCTAGCCTTTTCTCACTCACTTCTGGATTTTGGCATATGTCATGCATCTGTTTGAAATGTTCTGAGTGGGGTACAAGAGTCTATGAAGGTTTAAAGTCCTGCCACAGACACCTTGGGAAAGTGGCCCTACCGGTTTTCCCAGCTGGTGGGAGTGCTGTTATGAAAGCCACCAGGATGGTGGAGCCTGCAAGTCCTCAAGCCACTCAGGAGGGCAGGAAGCATGCTTCCTAAGAAGGTTTGTGAGGACTCTACTTTAAGATAAATGAAACCAATTGAAACAGTCGTCTCCTAAGGTGAAGTAGAAAGAAGACTGGAACCTCTGAGTCTGGGAGGAAAGCTAAGCACTTAAGTATGATGCTTATGAACTCAGAAGGGCATCCCAGAACCTGGAAGTGGGGTGATTTGTTATGAAAAGGCACATTCCTCTTCTACCTCACATTTCCTATATTCTTAGCTGAAATTACTGTCTGTTGCTCATGGAGGTAATTTATATAGCATAGAAATTGAAAGGGTGGAGCCCTAATTTAGATGTTCTGGGTTCGAATACTGTTCTACCACTTCTCAGTTATTTGGTTGTAAGCACGTTGCTCTATCACACTGTGCTGGTTTTCTCATTTCTAAAAATGGCATAATAATAGAAGCTACCTAATAGGGTTGTTATGAAAATTAAATGAGGGCTGGGGGTCTAGCTCAGTGGCAGGGCACTTGCCTAGCAGGTGCAAGGTCCTGAGTTCAGTCCTCAGTCACACACGCACACACACATACACACATAAAATTCAATAAAATGAGTCACTGTATGTACATGTATAAGTAAGTGACATGATCCTTGAATATATGTTAGCCCCCAGTGCTGCTGCTGGGACTCAGGGGAGCTAGGTTAGGCTCTCCTGGTACTCCTGCCCTTTCTCCACCTGGCTGCTTCCACCAGTGGTCAAGGAACCCCATTAGTCTGGTGAGTTCTCAATAGAATCATGTGGGTTATAAAATGTGAATGTCTATTAAGAGACTAAGTAGAAATTTTTGTTCTTTTTCTTTGTGGCGTTTTGTTTAGTGTTTCCCAAAGTTTATGAGAAAATGGTGGTCTCCTTATTACAACTCTATAAAAAAAAAAGAAAGGAAGAGTAAAAAAGAAAAGTCTGACTTATTATTTTACACCAAATATTTATAGACACCTCTCATGCCTGGAACAGTGCTTAAAACTGGGGACGGACACACACACACACACACACACACACACATATATATATATATATATATATATATATATATATATATGATACATTCTCTCTTCCCACAGCTGCCAAATCAAATCAGAGAAACAGTCACATAAAGAAAAGAGATGCCAGCACCAGGAGAGGGACATAGACATGCAGAGTGGTGCATGGGAGGAACTGACTCACTCAGCTTGGGCCTGCTGGGAGGCCTCACAGAAGAGGAGCCCTTGAGTTGGGTATTGAAGGATGAGTAGGAGTTTGCCAGATGGATGTGTGGGTAGGGGCATCCCAGGCAAAGGGAGCAGCCTGTGGAAAATCACAAAGGCATGAAGTAGCTTGGCACATTGTTTATTGTTTGGGGAGCTGTAAATAGCTGCTGTGTAGAGAACAGACAGTGTGTAGGAGAAAAATGTTAGATGAAGATATAGGGGCAGAGGTCCTGTCTAAAAGGCCTTGAAGGCCAAATAAAAGAATTTAAATGTTTGTTTTTTTTTTTTTTAACTGCTACTTCCCACAAATTTCCACAGAAGTAGCATTCACAAGTATTAGACACTGGATGCAGAGGAGAGAGGACTTAGCCACAGTTGGAGGCGAAAGAGAACCTCAGTGACAAGACTTTTGTGTGGGGGAAATTTCTTTGAAATATCTTGTTTTATGTTAAAAATTCATGTGGTATTTTGCATTTTACTTTATAATAATCTTTGGTGCATGTTTTCATAGGAAAAATCATGCTCTAAATGACTAGATAAATTTACTATTTTCTTCTTAAGTCTTCAAGCAAAGATATAATGCTCCGGGAAGATGTACATACTTGTTCCAAGATTTCGATTCTCCTGCACTCCTAATCTGCCTTGTTAACCTCCATCAGAAAATTTCTAGTCGGCAGTGAAATTGCTCATTTTTGTCCTCTAGTTTTCATTCCTATGTCATTCCTACACCATGAGGCCCTGGAGGGGCCTTATATAAATTGTAAATTATATAAATTATAATTATATTTATATAAATTATAAATCTCTGGATCTCTTTCACATCCAAAGATAAAATTGTTAAGTGATCTTTGTTGAATGATTTAACAAAGGTGAGTGATAAATTATTGGATGAGAGAAACACCCAGCAAAAGAATCATTGAATGAGTGAACTTGGTGCCTGGTATTCCAACAGCATGTGGCAATATCATATGAAAGAGTGGCTGGCTGATGGACCCAATTAGTAATGCCTGCTTAGGTGAAGAAAACCCCAAAAGCAGATGCTGAACCAGAGGAGTCTTTAGAAAGATCATAAGAGAAGATCAAGGAATGTATGGACACGATTTGTTTTGGGGACATGGGATCCGGGAGTGTGTCTATAGTTTGTCAACTATAAAATGACCCTGAAGCTTCCCATGAGAACCCCTGCAGGAGGCTCTTGGGACTTCTGGGGCCTGCAACCTCAGGGAAGCTCTGTGCTGAGCTTAGCTATTCCTGGGTACACCCACCAGGGAGCTCTCTCTATATAAGTGGATAGAAAAGGCAGGGGTGGCGGGGATGGGGATTTCCAGGCAAGATTGGATGGCGTCACCCACAGGAAACATTGCCATACTTGAGGTCCTTTGTTCCAGTGTTTGATTTAGTTGATCTTAGAGCTTCTAAGATCAAACAGAGCTGCCTCTCACTGGGTCACTTCCCAGGACCTTCTCCTTCCCCAGTTCACCCAGAGACCACGCCAAAAGAAGTCAGCACAGATCTCAATGTCCAAACCCAGGGCCTGGAAGAATGAGGAAAGAACATAACCTGAGAAGGTTATAAGGACACAGAACTCGGTGTGTATGGATAAGGGAGATGAGTAATGGGTAACCCAGAGTCATTGTTGAGATGGGTAATGAAGCAAGAAGGTGGTGGGGCTCATGGTGTATAGGAACAAGTCCATTTGGATGACCACACCAATTGAGTGAATGGAGAACCAAGCTGAATCCCCTGAGCCTTGAGCTGGGACTTGGCTGAACCTGGGGCTGTAGGGAGCTAGTGATGGAGTTGGGGTTGGCCCAGATGAGGCAGCTGAGGGTAGAACTAGGTTGGAGCCAAGACCTAGGATAGGATGGGAGTCCTACACCACCTGACTCCCCTTTCACCCCCTCTATCAAATCTGTCTCCATTGCTACTTTCAATCCCAGCCTTCCCTTCTTCACCCTACCACCAGCCTCCCATTGCTGTTACATACTGAGGGGCTGTCTAGAGGCTCCAATGCCTGGATGTCTCATGAAAATCCAGTCTCTGCACAAATGTATTATCTAGCATATTCTGGGACTTTGGCCAATGTCTACGTCAAATTTTTCAGTTGGAATCCATAAGCAGAAACTCTGGTCTATTTAAGGAAAGAAATTATTTATTGCAGGATATTGGTTAGCTCACGAAATTACCAAGAAGGCAGCAGAACTAGGTTTGGCAGAAGCACAAACTGGCACAACCCATGTGGGCTGCTAAAGCCATTGCTGGAACACTAGATGTCGCTGCTGGCAGCCCTCTGTACCCACTGGGCCTAGAGACTGCTGCCGCTGCTCAGAAATATTTTCTTTTTTGCATCACTATTTCCCAAATCCAAGTCTAGGGCAGTGATCCTGACCACTTGGTCCTCTCTTGGTCCTCTCTCATCCTCACTGGAATGGGCATCAGAAAAGCAAGCACCCGGTATTTTCACTGTCTGCAGCAAATGGGTTCTGCCTCAAAAATAACAAGGTGAAGCCAGGCCTGATGGCACATGCCTGAGTTCTGAAGTTCCTCCTCAGGAGGCTGAGGCAGGAGGATTGCTTGAGCTCAGGAGTTTAAGGACAGCCTAAACGACATAGTGAGGTCCTCCCTGTCTTTAAAAAATAATAAGGTGTGGAGTTTCTTTTCTTTTTCTTTCTTTTTTCTTTTTTTTTTTTTTTTTTTGGTGGGGTAGGAGGTACTGGGGATTGAATCCAGAGGTGCTTAACCACTGAGCCACATCCCCAGACCTTTTTAATATTTTATTTAGACATAGTGTCTTGCCAAGTTGCTTAGGGGCCTTGCAGAGTTGCTGAGGCTGGCTTTGAACTTGTGATCCTCATGCCTCAGTCTCTCTAGCTGCTGGGATTACATGTGTGTGCCACAGAGTTCAGCCCTTTATCCTTTCTTGATGTGGGAGAGGCAGACAAGACAGGGTCAGGGGATAATGTCTGTCATTTTCCCTCTGCTGTACCCAATCTTTCAGCTATCTCTTAGTAGCTGGGTCCCCAGAAAGGCCTATTTTTCTGTCTTCCTGATCCTAACCTGGGACCTCAGCATCAGACTTGAAAGACTTGTCCTCTTAGAGAATATGCTGGTTAACCCCTAAACCTACTCTTAGGGCCGCAGTAGCCCTGCCAGGCCAGAATCTCCACTGAGTAGTGTCAAACAGATCCAGAAGCCAAAGCGGGAGGGGACCAGGAGCCAAATGATAGGTTTTCCTGTAGCTGTAGGAGTGTAAAGTAGATATCCTGGGAGGATCTAGCAAATACAAGGTAGAGCTGAAGATGTAGCTCAGTAGTAGAGCACCTGCCTAGCTATATAGGACCCTGGGTTTGATCCCCACACAGCAAAAATCTAATAATAATAATAATCACATACACAAGGCAGAGTTTTCAGGAGCAAGGAAGCTAAAGTTGCATATTTTCTTCATCCAGGCAGAAATACCTAAGGCAGAGTCGGGTGCTGGCTAACTGAGCTTTGGGAAAGTCCCAAAGCCACTGGCAGGTTCATGAACTGGAATCTGTGGCTAACTGCTGCCAGCACCACACACAAACCTCTTGTCCTTAAGCAGGGTGGCTCTTTTCCCTCTCAATGCACTCACTTCTGAACAGAGTGCCTCTCATCTGCCCTTGCCCAAATTCAACGTCATTTCCTCTGCAAAGCCTTCTGCCTCTCCCCTACTTGTGAAGTATTTTAAATCCTGGCAGCATATCTTCCTAAAGGTTCCTTCTCTCTGTCCCATTCAGGCAAATAGCTCATCACAGCTCTTTCCTCCATTCATAACTGAGTGTCCACTGCAATGGGATTCACCCTAATTTAAAACGCATTTGTGAGGATATGGTGTAACCGAGGGAAGTTACACCTGCATAGGTCTACAGAGAGGTGAGTTACCTTGAGCACCTCACTAGCTGGTTGCTAGGAGGAGCCTCCTGATTTATGGATAATGAGCTTACCCCTCCCTGGACCCAGGGATCTGGGAGGTAGGAAGTTGGGCCTCCAGAGCAGAGGATCCAGGACCAAGACCAGAAAGTGCTGGGAGCACCAAGCAGCAGAGCAGGTGAAGAGCCAAGTCTGAGCTCCACAAGACAGAAAGCCTGGCAGATCTTAGCCTGGCTTCGGTTTTCTGAGTTTATTTCCTTGTTGCCCTTAAGGAGAACTGACTGACCCCTGAATAGGCAGGACTTAGGCTCATTCTTTCCACATGCTTACAGAAATACTTGAGCCATGAAAAGGTCAATAGACTCCAAAACACAAAAAGAAAAAGTAAAACTAAAATGTTTAAATGAGTCTCTACAAAACAAAATATTAATCAACTTCCATGTTTTTAAATTTGTATTCTATTGGAAAACAATCTGTAAGTTGATTTTTTTTCTCACCGCTCAAGACTTCCTAAATATCCATCATAATTGCTATGAAATCACAGTCAATCATAGATTCAGTGAGCTCCTTATAGATAGACATTTTTAAAAAAATAAACATTTTTAAAAATCTTAATGGAAAAATATATTATATTGACTATAATATATAATAATATATTGAGTATGAAACGTGGGTGTGTCACGAGCCATCTGTGGGCTGTGTGTGGACTGTTGTGCATAGTAGCCTCCTGAGGGGATAAGTCTGGCATTGGGAACTCCCCGTGGCACCCCCCACAGGGACTGACTGCCTGATGCAGGTGAACTTCTTTCCCCCTCAGCTCTGCCAGAGATCCCATACAGCACCTGAGATGGGTGTGACCTGCCAAGATATCAATCAACCTGCTGACCGTAAGACTCCGCCCTTGAAACCTTATCCCTGCCTTTGATGTACCCTCTTAAATAAACCACCAGAGCCATTTTGTCTTTTGTCTAGTTAGAGAACCTATGTGGACTAGATCTATCAGGGGCTTCACTTTCTGTAAATATATTTTTGAGTATTTGTGCTTTGTTATTTACTAATCATCTGAAATTGTAAGTCTTAGGGTGACTTGGATTATTCTGGGCAGGAAGAAAGACCCCTTAATGAGATGCTGGCCGCTGTCATCCCCCATCCCCCATATGGGTGTATTTTAACACACTCAGTACTGAGAGGTAATAGCAAGGTGGTAAGAACATGAACTCTGGGACAAGGCAGCCTGACTTGAAGTTCTGGCTTTGCCACTTACTAGCTGTCTGACTTAGAGCAGATGATTTAACCACTCTGGGCAATGATTCCCTCACCTATAAAAAAGATGATGATGATGATGATGATGATGATAGTTCCTAGGAGTTATAATAGTCCTAATAGTTTCTGAAACACAAAGATGACGATAATTTCTATGGTCTGAAAGTTGTGACTCCCCGAAATTCATGTTAAAAATCTAATCTCCAATGCAAAAGTACTAAAATATTGTCAGGGACTAGAAGGAAATTCTCCTTCAAAGATTAGCCTGACAGCCCCCTGGGAGACATCCTGCCTGGGAGGCATCCTGCAGCTACTTATCTCACCTGAGACATCCTGCGGCCACCTATCTTCCTGAAACCTATCTTCCTGAAACATCCTGCGGTTATCTCACCTTGTGCAGACATCCAGCAACTACCGATAAGAGAGCTTCCCCATCCCCACCATATAAATACCCCTGTGTGAACAATAAAAGTTTGCAGCTTGATCAGAACTTTTGTCTTGCTGTCACCTTTCGTGTCTCTTGTCCCTTCATTCCTCCCCATCTAGGTTCGCTGCCCACGTTGATGTGTCCTGCCGGACGGGACAAAATATGGCAACCTTTAGGAAGTTATTAGGTGGAATCTCCAAAAGTGGAGTTGTGCCCTTATAAGAGGTTCAGGGAAGGGCTGAGGTTGTGGCTCAGCAGTAGAGCACTCGCCTCACACGTGTGAGACCCTGGATTCGATCCTCAGCACCACAGAAGAATAAATAAGTGAAATAAAGGTATTGTGTCCAACTACAACTAAAAAATAATAAAAAAAGAGCTTCAGGGAAGCTCATTCATCCCTCCTGCCATGTGAAGACACAGAAAGAAGGAACTATCCATCACTCAGAGAGCAAGCCCTACCAGACACTGAATCTGTTTGTTTCCTAGCCTACAGAATTGTGAGCTATAAGTTTCTATTGTTTATAAACTGTTCAGCCTAAGGTATATTGCTCTAGCTGCTTGAATGGACTGAGACAGTGATCATAGCTTGTTACTATGAAAAGAATATCTTAAGGTTGTATGAAGATTACATGAGTTAATGTTTATAAATTTTTTGGAACAATTTCTGGCAAGAAGTAAGCACTATTTAAGATTTATTAGTTTGTTTATATAAATAAACAAATATAAGAGAGTTTTGGATCCCTGAGTGTTTTGTTTAAGTCTTTAAGAAGGTTACATCCAAGTTCACCTGGCCAGTGAAACTATGCAGAGTAATCTATGCAGAATTTGGCACAGCTATGGGAGGAATCAGGTAAACTTGTATTTTCAGCTTAGAGGCAGAACACAAAAGGCCCCAAGGGAAAGGAAGATTCAGGCACTATGGAAAGCTACCGAGTTTTTGTTTGTGTCTCCTGCCCAGGTTAGCCTATGAAGTCTCCAGGTTTGGTTTTATTAAGAAAGCTGTCACTCGAACTACTCCCAAATCTAATTGTCCATTTGAACACTGCTGGACTCCAGCAGTCTCTGGCTGTGCTGACAACCCCCCCCCCCCCCCCACATGACACATACACCTTAACTGTTTCTCTCCAACCTTTGACTGTCTTACTCTCCTCTGTGTTTTTTTTGTCTCTGATGATGAGTCCAACTTACCAGGATCCCATCCAGTTGCAGGTGGTGGTGAGGACTGTGTCCAGAAGGCTCTGTGGTATGCTGGTCCTATCAGCCCCAGAATGAAGGGAAGACTAATATGGATTAGATGTGGTTGTCTCTAAAGGCCAGTGACTTGGTCCCCAGTATGGTGGTGTTAAGGGGATGGGACATTTAAGAAGTGGAGCCTACTGGAGGCATGTCCACAGAAGGGACTATAAGAACCAAACCTCTCAGGCTTTCTATGTGGCAATGTGATCTTTCCCTTGATGTGATCTCTCTCACACACACATGTGCTCCTGCCATCCACTGAGGTCCTTAGCAGAGCCAAGACTTGAATCTCTAAAACTGAGCTAAATAAATCTCTTTATTTATAAAGTTAGACTTCCTCAGATTTTTTTTATAGTAACAACAAAAAAATGAATTAATACAAAGAGACCACACTGGCTTTGAGTCACAAGCCTTTCAGGAGAACATAATCGATGTGCTTAATGGCAGCATAAACCACATCATTCGCTAAGATATTTATGGCTACAAGTAACAAAAGAATATAACTTAGCTTGACTTAAACAATAATAAAAAAAAATATCATCTCATATCTTAATCTGTCTAGGCTACTATAAGACAGTACTATAAGCTGAGTAGCTTATAAACAATAGAAATATATTTCTCACAGTTCTGAAGGCTGGTAAAATCCAAGATCAAAAGACCAAAAGATTAGGTGTTTGGCAAGGGCTCATTTCCAAGTTCAAAGATGTCTTCTTGTAACCAGAACCCAGTGCTTGGCCCCAATACCAATTAATGCCCGTTTAATAATGAGGACATGGTTTTGAGAAAAAGGAAAAAGAGATTTTATTGCTTTGCTAGCAAAGGAGAAACACAGGAGACTTCTGTTCCAGAGGCTGTAAATTCTGCCCCTTAGGAGGAACAGGGGGGTTTTAAAGGAACCCTTCATTGCAGTGTGCTCTGGTAAGGGGATCCCAGGGTCCAGTGTCCCTGTCTGCCTCTCTCACCCCCGCTCCACATCCCACGTTGGTGGTGGAAATGGAGTTCCTCTGTATGGAGTAAGCTAGCAGCAAAAATAAAGCTAAGAAAAAGAAGGCCATGAAAAGACCACACGACATGGAAGTAATTTTGAAAAGCGGGAGCCTGCATTTGCTTTCTTCTATGTGGGGAAACTTCAAAGGGTATCCATAGAATGTTCCTCACCAAGTAAGGCAGGAGGCCGTCTGTCCAAGCCCAACCCATACGCCCAACTCCAGAACTACAGAGTAGTTTTCCTGGCCAAGCAGAGACTTGGGTCATGTGCATTGCATAATCCATTAAGTAGGAGGGGCTGCCAAATAGCGCAAGGCCAGACCAAAATTTCCTTGGCTCAAGACTTCTCAAAGAGCTCAGGGGTGGCTCTCCACACCAGAGCAGCCTGATGGTGTGTTAGGATTCACTTGTTAATTTGGAAGATATTCACTTCCTAGATCCTCTGGCAGCATCTCCTTCCCGTGGAGCACAGATAACTCAAGGGAATCTCATTCCCCACCCCCAGGTTAGGGAGGGAGAGAGGGAGAAGAGGAAAAGGAGTACCCTTCCCTTTCAAAAATAAGCCTCAAGCTATTTTCAAAAGGTGAAGTGGACCACTGCTGTATTCTCATTGTGATATCTTTTCTAACAACATTAATCCACCCACAAAATCTAATCCTAAAGACCCCACCTCAAAATACGTGGAGCTTTGGAATTTTACACAATGAATTGTTTTTCTGATGGAGTTGGGGGATGGGACACAAGCATTCAGTCTATAGCATCTCAGACCTCAATACAACTAGAGGTGGGAATAGTCCAAAATTAGCTTATCACTGGCTCAGTAACAACATCAAGGAATCAGATTCTTCCCAGATTTTCCATGTATTGCTCCATTGTTTTAACTTTTTCCCTCTTAAAGTTGTGATATGCCTGCTGCAGTTTAAAATATTGCATGTAGGCTAACAATGAGTGGGTGTAAATGAGTACATCTCTTCCTCTGCATCCTCCTTAGCAATAAGGGTATCTTCCCCCACAGGTCCCAGAAAATGGCACCTCACCTGAGGCCAGAATTTTATCATATATGTAAGATTAAACCAGCCACTGACAAGGAGTGTGGAACCACCATGATTGTCCTGCCTCTGGGACTAGGCTGGAGCCAGCCTCACCTGAAGTACACAATGATATGGAATAGAGGAGATTCCAAAATATTTGGAATTTCTTGTTATTTGGCCCAATACTTAGGGCCAAATAACAAGAAGGAAAAAAAAAATCGCAGTCCATGTTGCATAGAAAAATCAAGAGTAATTGCTAAACTGTCTATGAACTCACAGCTGGTTCTTGAAGAGACTTAGGGAGGTTGGAAAACCAAAGATTACAATGGAAGGGTTCACTCCTGGGAAACTGGTGTTTTTGTTTATTACTATTGATGCAATTTGTTCTCTCTGATTTTTACCACCAATTCCTCCCTTCACCACATGTAACACAAAAGAGTAGGAAAAAATACCTACACTATGTATGAAGAGCCTGGCATAATTTTTGGCATGAAATGGGCATCAATGTAACAGCAATAAATAAATGTGTCTCTCTTTCCCCAGCCTAGATAACTACAGCCACATCCTAACTGGTCTCCCTGACTGCAGAGAAGGGCATTTTTCCAATATTCAATTTGGATCTGAACAAATGTTCCTGCCCTCAGGACAAAGTCTTGTGTCCTTAATCGGGAACACAAGATCTTTTATCCAATGAATCCAGCCTGGAAACTGCATCTTCAGAATTCTTATTCATGCATCCTCAGTTCCAGCCCTGCTAGAGGGATAAATGATTGAAGGAGGAGTAGGCAGGACTCAGTTAAAAATTAGATGTAACATCACACCAATAAATTTAGAGGAGACATTGAATGAATTTCAGCAACCATCTTCTAATTAAAAAAAAAAAAACCTAAGTAAAATAGGCCTATAAGAAAATTTCTTAAATTTAATAAAGGTCATTTCTCCAAAACGCAAATAGTCTAACAACAAGAAAATCACTAACTCTATTTCATTAAAAAGAGTAAGCAGGGTACCCATTATTACCATTATTATTCAACAGTGTCCAGAAGTTGTAGCAAAAAAAAAAAAAAGTACAAAAAAGAAAGCACATAATTATAAGACTGAATACCTAGAAAATACAAAGATTCTAGTATGAAAGTATCAGAGTTTATAAGAAAATTTGGCAGGGTGGCTGAATACAAGATATATAAATGTAAAACAGTAGCTTTCACTTCCTTTGCTAAATCCATAGGGCAGCTAACATTCCTAAAACCTTCCCACTAGAAAATGCTGAAAAGTGGGTAAAAAAAGAAAAACATTCATTTCAAATTAGTAAAAAACTTAGCTAGAAAGAAAGAGCAATTCTTAAAGCTGAAGCATAATTCCAGGCAGGTAAACTGATGGAGACTGAAGAGTTAGATATAGTACTATGGAGTTTCAGAGTGAATCCCTGCGTAGTGGCAAGAGGCAAATTCAGGTCCACGTGAGGTGGGGAGTCAGATCATGAGAATAGGCTCAAGAAGAATCATAAAAAAAACAAGAAGGAAGCTGGTTTGTCTTGGCCCCAGCTCTGAAGAAGAAAACAACACCCCTATAAAAATTAATAACCAGAAA